AATATATTTAATACAATTCGAGCCTCTTTGCCACGACCGTGAACTCAAACATGTATGCACCATTTGGACAGATTTCTCAAAATAAAGTGGATGAAATCATGTCATAGTGATTTTTTTCTGTTCTTATTTTTTCCTTGTTTATTTCCACGCCATTCAAAGGGCACAGACATGACAAAATTACTTATAAGTAATCTAAGCTGATACATTGGATTGTCATCTATTATCAGCTGTTTTATTACATTGTGTTTAATTTTGAGCATTTATTTATTTATACAGAGTGTTTCATAGATCATGGGACAAACTTGGAGGGGTGGTGGAGTGTGCTAAAACATGCATTTTTTGTATAGGAATGTAGGGTCTAAATTGACGGGTTAAGGCAGGAATGCAAAAAAATAACACAAGAGGAAAATGTGTTTATGTACAAAATCAACGCAAAGTGCTTCTTTGCAACAGTACAGTATTCAGAATAAATGCTCAAAAAAGGGAACACTAACAGTAATAGGAACTACAGCTGTGATTGGCTGGCAATGCAGTGGTAGAGGGCGGTAGTGAGCTAGACATACCACGATCCGATGCATCAGAGGATCATTCGCAACTCTGATGTCGAGTGTGATGTGCGAGTTTACGCACAGGGAAAAAGCTGACTTGCATCTCATGTATGGTGCTGCTGATGGGGAATGGCAGAGCAGTGCTTCGGTTGTACCAGGAGCGGTTTCCGAACAGGTGTATGCCGAAGCACACAATGTTTGAGAGGCTGCATCGGTCTCTGTGAAAACAGGTCGTTTGAAGCCACCTCTGACACTAGGTGTGGTCGCAGTTTTGAACATTTATTTGTGAATACTGTATTGCTACAAAGAAGCACTTTACATTGATTTTGTACATTTTCCTCTAGTGTTGTTTTTTGCATTCCTGCCTTAACCCGTCACTTTAGACCTACATTCTTATAAAAAAATGCATGTTTTAGTATGCACCACCACCCCTCCAAGTTTCTCCCGTGATCTATGAAACACCCTGTATAGTCATAAAAATACAAGTGTTTTCGAATTTAGTTTTGCTATATCCACTTTATTTTATAATAAAACATAATTTTATTATATTTGTAATTATAATTATTCAATTATTATATTGTATGCTTTTCATTATTATATTATTTATTACAATGAATTCCAATATTTTAATTATTATAATTAATTATGATAACTATACAACAATAAATGATTATCATAATTACATTATAATTGATACTTATTTTACCTGTTTTTAGCTTTGAGCTAAAATCTATGTGTATTATTACACACTGATAAATATTTTTATTAATTAATTATAATGATTATACAGTGGTAAAGAATTCTTATAGTTACTTGAGTAATTATAATAGCCATAATATAATAAATAATTACCATATCACTTTGAATTTGCTCTAAAAGCTGTATGCAGTATTATACATTCTGAGGAGGAAAAATTAAATTTCTTACTTTCGTACGTATTATTCTGTATCTCAGTCACTATACATATACAAGTTGTCATCCTCCTCATCAGAAGAAAAAATTAGATTCCCATAAATATTGCATTAAACCAGCTCTTTTCCAGTAGTCATTTTGTACATTGCTGCAGTACTTTTTTCAGTTGTCTGTCATTACAGTTTCAAGAGCTTCTGTAATTTTTAATATTTTATCCATGGCCATGTCTCCAGTTGTGCTGCAGTTACGTACAAATTGCTTTGTTTCACCCTCAACTGCATTTATTTCACAGTGGTTCATTGACTGGCATCCAACCGTAAAACTATGTTCTTCGAGCATTGAATCAAATTTATATGCCTTTCTTTAGGAGCATTTTGTTTCATGAGCTCCATTAACTCTGCTTTCTATAAAATTAAAGAGAACTGAGCATTTTGTTAAATAGTTGCTGTATAATTAGTTGGACAGTGTGATAGAGACTTTGTCTAAAATCACTGCAGCATTTAGTGGAAGATTCAGAATGAGTTTTTTTTAGAAGTCCACTATTCAAAAACAGAAGAATTTGTTTGCCTGTGGTAGTCTTCGATGTGATATCTGCTTTATATACTGGAGATGTACGAGGTAAAAATCCCATATGCATTTAGCGCATAAAACAGTAATTCTTTTAGAAGCATTGCCACTTTGCATAACGACAAAAACTGTTTTCTGATTGCCAACATTTTGAGAATGTTATGTTACTGTTCCCTCAGGTTTCTTCCAAGTAAATGAGAGGTCTTCTTTCGTGATGAAATTGCCTCACTTTTCTAAGATTCTTTGATCTTCTATGTTCAATTAAAACTTTTCTTTTTCTCCATTCATTCAAATGCAATACTATACATTTCATAATGTTTCTTGTTTATGTTTAAAATTTTGCTTTTCTTGCAATATACTATGTAATTTTTTCTCCTTAAAATAAAATTCATGAATAGTTCTTTGAATTATAATCTATTTTTTGAGGGGGGGGATGGAAACCTGGCTCTTCCTTTCTTTCTGCCTCTTTTATCGTCATCAGCAATGTTCCTGCAATATTGTTGGTTCTTTTCATAGGCTGTGAGATGAGAATGCTAAATTTTTCATTCTCAGCTTCAGTGTCACGAAGTAAAATGACATTATGTTGAAATTTCTTAGTACTACTGTGAAATCCTTGTTTTTGCCAACTGAATTCATATATTAATAAAAAGAAGCTATCCCTAACACTTATACAAAAGACCACAATATGGGCAAATGTTATGTTAAAATCAACTACAATCTATGTAAATCCTGCATAAATGCGGTAAAAACACATTGACTGTTTTCCTTTTTTTATTACAAAAAGAGTACTTCCACTAAAGAATATAGTTTTATGCTTTTTAGTGACCTTATCTTTAAAAGTAAACAATGAATTATGCATTGTTCATATAAAATTCATCAATTATAAAATAAATTCAACATTCTTGGTTTCTGGGTTGCAAACCAATGCGAATCGTAGCTTTTATTTCTGCAAATATTGAGAAAAAAAGGAAGCCATGAATTGAACGATTCTATGTATTTTGGCAGAATACATAGAAAGCTTGAGTTTAAGATGGTCGAACTGTATTATTGGCCATTTACAGTTCATTTCTGTAAGTGCTTGTCATAGTGCCCTCAGCATACTAGTTTGCATAAGGGCAGATAATGCTGTTGCAACAGCACTGCATGTAAGTACAAAAAGCAAATTTAACTAGCCAACAGTTGGTGGTGCTTCAGTATTCTAGTGTTTTTTCCTGTAATAGTTGGTACTTCTGATATGTACTTTTCATGTGTCGGTCACTAGTGTCATCCACACAGTTATAGTGATTAGTGATCCTGAATGTTGCACTGAAGGGCCTGGGTTTGAATCCTGGAGAAGGCATGGATGTTTGTAAGCAAGGAGCACTCAAAATACATGGTGAGCCAAAATCCTCTCGAGAAGATGGTGGTAGAGGATGAAGAGTAGATCTTAATATACCTCTTGGAATTCCATTCAGGCTGGAAGCTTAGCAGTTAAAAAGGCCCGGTGATTTGTAACATGCCTTGATAGATGTACAGGAATTGACCTTATTTTAACCTGTACCTGCACATCACTAGTTGCTTAGCTGGTTGCAAGGCTGCAGTTCATGTTACTACATGGATAGAAACTAGCATATGACATATGAATCCAGTTTTTTTGTGCTTTTTATGTAATTTACTGAGAGAATTATAAATTTCTGCGGGTATCAACTTTCGCATTTTAGACAGAAAATATATATAAATTTGAATTTCTGTTTGCATTATTATGATCAGTACTTTTTATAAATGTTTACTGGGGATAATGTAAAAATTAGTTAAAAATTTTATTTTATCAGAAGACATTTTTTATTTTGTTCAGAAAAATTTTCATTTTGTCAAAGAAATTAGGCTTATCATCTTTCAGATTGTAGATTTGACCCACATGCAGTTTGAGGCCACTGATCTATGTGATACAGAGCCATAATTGCAGTGTGAAACATATAATCATCTTTTTTAGTGGTATGCTACTTGACAAACCAGTATTATAAGATAATGTTTTTATGGTAAGAGTAATGATGATGCCGAAGATGCTTTTTGATGAAATCACACATCCTATTTCACATCCTAGTGGCAAAATTGTTTCCTACCCAATTTGCTGCTTCCTTTATTTGATTGCTTCTTGAAGTTCTGTTTTTGAGATTAGATGTTACTGTATTATGTCTGAGTATCCAAACATGAGTGTGCACATATTTATATCTGAATACATAGCTAATTTTAAGGAAGCATAATTTTTGTTACATGTGACGAAAAAAGTAAAAAGGACAGGAGCGCATCTGTATCTGCATTTGTGTCAAAAGTCGGTGTCCTATAATTAATTTTTAAGCAATCAGTCAGTACGTCATTGCAGTATAATGTGTTTCTTGATGCCCATTCATTATAATTAGGCAAAATGCTGTGTAACTTAGTAATTGGCAACTTTTTTCCTATCTGATGCTACAGTCCTATCCTCTTCTTGCTTCATAAATTTTCTACTAATGTCACTACTACTTTCATCTGATTGAGCATGTCCACTTCAAAAGAGCTGAAAATATCAAGTGTGTAGTCTGGAACAATTCATTCCAAAATAAGTATCAGGTTTTCCTTTGTTTGCTATGTAGGATGCTATTTATTATGTATAAATGAGAATGGTAAGGCAGTGAAAAATTGTTTTTGTTTTATCAGCTGTTTTTTTTTTCTTTCTTTCTTTTTCATTTTGATATGTGCATTAAGTTGTGCATCATATTGATCATCATCATTAATCTTTCACAGTAATTTCATGATATCATGATTAATCAGTCAGAGTAATTAATTGGTCATTTTTATTCTTTTTATATTTATAAAAGTTATTTTTTTCCCCCTTCCCCGGAATGTTCTAATATCAGTATTTTAAAGTACTATATAAAGCAGAAAATTTTGATGCATTTTTGCTCATTCATTTTAAATTTTCTAATGAGCATGTTTGTGATTATCCTCTTCTAGTTATCAAGTTGTGATTGTTGGTGGTGTTCCACAAAAGTGCATTAATGCTTCTAAAGATAGTAAAGAAAAAGGAAAAGGCTTGGAATTTAATGTAAGTTATATTTGAAATTCTAGAGGCCAAATTTAGTTAAAATAAAACCCTTTTTTTTTTTTTTTTTTTTTTTTCATTTTTGCAATAATCTGTCTACTATTGTTATATATTTCAGATTTACTCACATAAGAAAATGGAATCTGTCAGAAGACTTGGTAAGTCTATTTTTCTTTACAAGTTAAAAAAGAATATAACTGACAGTAATGAATGTAATAAATACTGAGAGGGGTGGTATTGCATATAAAAATCTCAAAAGGTGCTTCTTAACATCAGTTGCTTTTCTGCTTCATCTGCATATCACCCAGCTACATAATTCATGGTAAATATTATGTATATTCAAGTATTCAACGTGTACTCAGGTTATAGGTTTGTGATACATTGAATGTGCTTTAATACTGGCGGGGATATACTTATAAGCTTTCAGTAAAATGAGTGCAAGGATTTTAATAAGAAGCTTAAATTGTTTTAAGCATTGCTAATGATAAATTTCTATTGCTTATAGAGCGTTATCAACTTTATGAGATGTTTATGCAAATAAAATGCATTAATAGAATGGGAAATGGGAATGAAAAATGGGAAAAACTGAGTAAGTGTAAATAAACTTAACAAAAATGGTAAAATGTCATTTTTAAGATGTACAACCAGAGAGAGAAGTCCTTATTAACCAGAGTAATAATTGGAATGATTTTCTCATTAAATCTGACAGCAGTAAAAGAAAAAACAAAGGAAAGAAGAATAATTTATATTATAACCAATGAAAAGTACTATTATCAATTTACCTGCATTTTTAAACAGTTTAATATGAGAATAAGTTCATTTGGTTATGTATATTAAATCAGCATTCAAATCAAGATCACTTCAAAATGTGTAAATGTGTAAACTAAAGCACTTTTTCTTTTTACTTTTGTATTTCGGTGTTTTATATCTTGTATTTTAGTGGGAAATTAGAAAATTAGTAGCTGTGTAATTTATTTTTGTGATTGAGCTGTTTTATTTTTAATAGACAATTAATGTAATTTTTTAGATCATATACAATTAAATTATGTATTGTTGTGGATAAAAGAATTCCTAAATCCTGGGATATTTTCTGCTGTTATCTTATACATTTTTCCCTTCTTACATTTTCTTCTATCACACTTGCTATAGAAGTTTTGCTTTATTCTAGTGGTTTGTGAACATAATTTTTCCATTGTTCCTCAATAGACAAACGAACTATTTTTAGACAAGGCCTGATGAGTTGGGTTATTTAAACTGTTTTAGAATCTCATGCTGTAAAATAAGGTATATATAAAATATGCAAAATCTAATGTTCAACAGAAAATTGCAGATTATGTAATTTATTAAATTTAGTTGGATCATGAAGCCACTGTTTTAAAGTCATAATTTGTAAAGAGAAATTATATCCTCTGTTATGTTGAAAATAACTCATATTCGTGTAATCTGAATTTTAATTCTCATATTCACCATCTCATGTTGAAAAACAGTTTTTCTGTGTTTGATCAACATTATTGTAAATAACAGACATTCTTGTTGAGCTTGTGGTGTTGTGAGTGATTATATCTCTTATTAGGTATGGTGACTGGTTAGTTTAGATTTGTAGAAAATTGTTTTCTTTAAAAGTTTTCTTGAAAGTACATCTTATTTGATATTTAATGGACCAGCTTTTGTTGGAATTAGCCCTATTTTCTCATGTGAAACAACAAAAATTGCGCTAACTTGCAAAATTTTTTCTGCAAAAATTTTATCATTTAACAAATAATAATGTGGTTTTGATTGCTGTAATGTTTGGAACAAATCCAAGTGTTTTTAAATGAATTATTTTTTTCAGATGTTTCCTTAATTTATGAAAAGTAATGTATTCAGTTTCAAGAAATTTATTTTGACTGCTTGGGAAATGTGTAAAGCTGCCAATTAATAATTTTATGTGAGCATATATGTATTGGTGCTCTGGTTTGCCGTAGCTCTCTTTTATGGCAGATCTTGCACTATCCAGCTATGTCACAAATGCTATATTTGTACATTATGTAGGCTTTGATTCTGTATTTTTTGTGTATCTTTTCCTTCAGTTTTGGACAATCATAATTTTTTTCAGTCATTTTCAACCGTTTATAATTTTATTTGGTGCAAAAAATCCATATCCCTTTAACCCCCCCTCCCGTCTGGTAAGAAGTTTTTTGTTGCTTTACTGATTAATTTAGTTTGCTTGATCTAAATCTCTTAGTGATTTTTCATTACTTAGTGTGTCTGTTAATATATCTCTTTTGCCCTTCGTATAATTTATACTGATTATATTAACTTTGTAAAAATGTGTGAACTTAAAAACAGTCTTTTTAAAAGTAAAAAAATTAGCAAGTGTGCAAATCTAAGCAAAATAAACATTTCTCAAGTTTAATAAAATTGAAATAAGTTTTTTTTGGAGGAATTTGTTGAGCATTTTAAGTTAATATGTGCGTAGATAACAAAGTGAATGGGTATGTGCATTTCTGATGAAACATTAGTTTCATAAGCTTTACAATCATAGGTAAGTGTAATTACTTTTTTCAAATTGTGCTTATTAGAAATATGTGTCCACCTGTTGAAATATAGCTCTTTTAGCCATGTGTTGTAATATAGCTGTCATATGAAAAGTCTTGTTACTTCTGTCAGTATGTTTTTGTCATGTAGTTTAAGTACTTTTACTTGCAATTTTTGGTTTTTTAGGGGGAAAAAATGCATTTAATTCTTTATGTCATAAATTGACAAGATTGTCTTCAGACTTTTAAAATTACTAATTTTTAGGGAGCAGACATATTTCTTGTAAGGACTTAGGTAAAGGAGATTGTGAAGGATGGCTTTACAAACAAAAAGAAAAGAAGAGTTTTTTTCCATCTGCTCATCAGTGGACAAAGCGATGGATGGTTCTGAAAAAGCATCTTTTATATTGTTACAGAGACAAAAATGTAATGCCTTAAATTATTATTGATGATTTTCATAATGATAATTGCTATTATAGTTTTATTTTAAATGTGTATTTCAATTATGTTATGTAAATTTCTTTTACGTAAAATGTATTGTATTTCAATCACTTTTACCTAAAGTATTTAACAAGTAACTAATAAAACAGAACAAGCTGTAAGGAACTATACCAACAATCATAATTCTTTTTTCTATTAGTATACTTTTAGAGCTTATAAATTAATTTTATTGTAAGATGTTAAATATGAAGTCAATTTTATTTGACTTCCTATTTTAAGATGTGAAATAGGAAGTTGTGTAAATTTTGTTTTACACAAATCATAATACTCTGTATTTGTGATGTAATAAAATATTCAGATTGTAATGATAGTCACCAGTAATCTTCTCTTAAATTGAATTCAAAAATACTGTGGCTACTAACAAAACCCAGAACAAGTATAATTACATATTTTCCATTTATATTAAAACTTAAATCTAAACTGAAGCATTTTCTTAGCATTGATAATTTCATGTCTTTTATTAATCACTTTGTTCTAAAGGAGGGAAGGTATGTAAGTGTGCTACATAATATAGAATAATAAATAGCAAAAATGATATCAAATTGGTTTCAAATTTCTGTTGTAATAATTATTTTACAGTACTATAATTTATAATATAAAGAACCTGGCTGAATCAACCTTATGTTCATCCATTTGCTTTTAATTTATCATTCAACCTAGGTTAAAACTGCTTATTGGTCTGTATATAGAAACTTTAATTAGATTACTTTCTTTGAAATGGGTTTAAAATAATTTTTTTATTCATTTATGGTTTCTTTAGGAGTGTTTAAAAAATATTCAATATGTACCTTCATCTATATGCATATAAAAAGTTCCACATGACGTCACTGAGAAAAACAGAAGACTGGCCTTGTTAAAACAAAAATATGTTTCACATTTGGCACATTTAACTTTAGCAAATATTTCTTTAGGGCATATGTAGCATCTTTGCCATATGGAATTATTACACTGGCCAGTGATGCACACAATCAGTTCTTTGATCCTAAAAGTAATAAATAATTGAAAAACAAATATTTAAATTTACAATATTTATATTTACAGCTGTGATATATGCATTCATTACAGATGCTACAGAATAATCAATGGATTCTCTGACTTCTTTTTTTAATTCCTTCTCATTCTTTAATATACATTTCTTTAGCCTGTTTTCTCTCAAAGTCCCAACAAATCCTATATTTTTTCTTGGATAATTTGTACACTAATTGGATATCAGAGTAAAAGTTATCCACAAAGATAGTAGTTTTGTTGTGTTATTTAGAGTGCTGCGTAACTGATCACAGCACCTGCTCCTAGACCTAATGCGTAGGCAGTTTGATCTCAATAGTAACCTTCAGATTTTCCAGTGTAAACATCAAAATCGTAACAAATGCCTGATTGTCCACATTGGACCCACATTTTTAAACCCCATTTGCTATGAGGTTTTTTAGGCTTGTATTGTTTGATATAGATTGTCCCATGAAATGGAATCATTGTTTCATCTATAGACTGCTTGGTCTCACCTGGAACAGATAGCATGTGTTCTCTAAGTCAAGACAACCATGGTCACACTTTCCAGCATTTGTCACCTCTAACATCATTATCAATTTGTGAATTATTCGCAATATACAAGTCTTAAGATTTTTTCAAATCTGTTTCTAGACATAACTTCTGCAATTGGTTCATACTTTATTCCCTCTTTTCAGTTATTTTTCAATTTAAATCTCAAAATGAATTTTCCTAGAGACTTTTTCACAGGAAAATATATATCTTAAAATATTTTTTAAATTGAAAAATATCAAAATTTAAACAAATAAAATTTAAATCCATAAATCATATTTAAGGATATATTATCTGTAAAATCACAAAGATTAAAGATCATGAACTAATTTCAACTCAGAAACATTTTCTTCAGAAAACTACTAGGCTTAGATACATGAATGTCCATGGTAGCAGATTTGCTACCATGATTTTATAAATACATTTCAGTATTAAAAACGATAATTTTGTAAAAGCTATTTTATACTCTGTGATTCACTAACTCTTTTACTTTATATAAATAGAATTATTCATTTTGTTAATAAAATGTTTGTAAAATAAACAAACAACTTACATCTGAAAAGGTGCTTGCATTGTTTGCTGCATCCATGCTTCTTCTAATTTTCCCTCCTTATGCTGGTGCTGAAATTTCTATCTCTAAGCTATGCCTAAAATTTGCTAATAATACATGAGAAAGGTTTAGTCTGTAAATTTATGACATAAAATTTGCATTTCATGGCATTTAATATATGGTAGCAAATATGCTACCATATATTCATTTTCATTCAAAGTTTATTTTTGTGGGTAATGCTGTAAAACATAAAAGTGGTATTCATTTTCTGAACGTGTAGTGTTAGTGTCTGCCTTATAGGTGCATAGACACTGATATAAGCACGAGGAAAATAATAGTTCTGAAGCAGTTTAAGTTACCAGTTAGAGATTCCTGTTGTATAGTGGAGTAGGCATACATTCACAGTTGCCCAGCTGTTCTGTGTATTATTGTGCAAGGCATTCATATAGCCATCCGCTGAGAGGGAAGAAAAATAAGGAAATTTTAGCAGCTTTGATCTAGTGGATATCGGCGAAGAATTTTGTCTATTATCAACTACTTATGAATAACGATTATTTTATATATGTTTTCTTTATTTGTTGCTCATACATCATTGTTTAATTATTACTCATATTCAAGTCATAACAAGATTCTCTTCAGACTTTTAAAATATAATTTCTCTTATTATTTTAGAAATAAGAAGTTTTTGTGAGTAAGAAAAGTAATGCAAAATTTTGCCATATTCATTTACTTATTTTGTCACATTCCAGGATATCAAAGCAGAATGCCTGATTTCTTTACCAGGTTCAAAAGTTTCTCCAGCATTAGAATGCAAAACAAAGAAATAGTAAGTATAATTGTTATGTTACTCATATCTCCAAAATTATCTTTTGCATACACAGAACCCTGTTCTCAGAAACTGTTAGAAATTTTCATGTTCTCAAAAACTCTTGGAAATATTCAGTGAATTTATTTGAGGTTAACACTATAAAACTTAATGAGCCGAAAAATCAAATGTAAAGATATGTTATAAAACTAACCAGTATGAAGTAATATATGATAACCTAATAAAAAAATTGAATGCTTTGAAATGGAATTAATAGGGATTGTGATCTTTCTTAATTTGTACATGTTTATTGCTTTTACAGTGTTATTATGTACTGTTATTCCATGCACTCAATAATATGCATAATTAGCATTGTTTCTCTTCTCCAGCATTATGATCTTCAAGGCCTTGTGGTATCTAGCTAGAGCATTGACTCTGGCTCTAGCTAGAGCTGTGATTTGCCTCGCCTGTCTGTTTGTGTCTGTTGTGTTTTTGGTTTTAAGCAATTTATTAACCAGGTTTTTCTCGATATCATGCACAGAAGAAAGTTAGATATTTATGAACTGGTAAAAAGCTTTAGGTAGGATTGTAATACTTATTTAAAACTGGTAAAAAAATCAATCTTAGTTTGGATAGATTTTAGATAAAATTGTTGATTTTTGACTGCAGTCAGACTCAGATCCCAGTTCCCAAGAAACAATAATAAATTGACAAAATTTGGATGAATGATAAACATATTATCTAGAAATTGGTGGGTGGAGGAAGCAAAGTGAAAATGACTGTAATGGCATCTGTCTAGGAAAATGGTTATAAAACATGAAAAAGCTAAGCTATTAGAATTCTGAACATGTTGGTAAGAACTGATTTCAAATTAGTGTTATTAATTTAAAAAGGTAAATTTTTGTGATTGCAAAAAATGCTTCAAAGAAAAATCCAGTTTGTCATTTAAAGAAGCTTTGGGGTTAAATTTTGCAGAACGAAAGTCAAAATTGTGGGTGTGCCCAATTACGATTAGTTATCAAGGATTTGTTTATTTCTCCTTTTCTTACACATGATTCATGTTCCTTGACATAAATTATTAATGTTCTTATATTTTGGCTGATTTATTTCAAACCACGTGGGCAAGATATTGTTTAAATTTCTTTTAAGACTTAAAAGAAGGCGGGCTCCTAAAGAACTGAGCAATGAAATTTACTCGCAAGTAATGAGAAAATGACTTGAAAGTTGAGGTTGTTAAGAAGCTGAGCAATTTTTTAACTGATAGAAGTATGAAATGGGATGATGAAAACGTTGAAACATGTAAAGAAATGATTATTTCTTTAGTGGAATTTCTTCTATGATGCTAAGGCTTCTCTGATGCAGAAACCATGGGAGAAAATCATTTGTCAATAGCAACAGACATTGATGTTCAGTTTGGAGGAAAGAATAATACAGATAAATTATCTTTCACTAAAACTTTAAGTGAACTATGAGCCTAACAGTTATCTACGATTAGGACAATTTTTGCGTCATCAGGTAAACCAACCAAATTCAAATGTTGCTGAACCTCGGATATGAAATGATTTTCAAACCAATCATTCATTAATGCTTGTATCATCCATGTTCTTCTATTTGCACATTGTATAACCAGAGCCATATTTAGACTTGATAAGGCCGTAAGCTATTTGAGGTATGGGGCCCTTTATAAGTCTGTTATACTATATTTTAATATTATATTTATACTATATTTTAATTTTGTGTTGGGGGCCGCCAAGAAAGTGAGAGCCCTAAGCTATAACTTGTGTCGCTTATACGTAAATCCTGCATTGTGTATAATGGGGAAAATCTTTACTCCTTTAAATGCTCGAGGTTGTGTATTTTTTTGGATTACCAAACGTTTACATTTGTGCTTTCCGGCAATATTTTCACTTGCTAAAATTGTTAGTCTTTCTTTGGAATCTTTGACACTATTTTGAATCTTTCCTGTAGAGGTTGCCAAGGTATTTCTCGGTATATATTGCCAGAAAAGACCAGTTTCATCAGCATTGTAAATTTATTCTGGAGATAACTTTCACTATTAATGAGTTCAATGAATTCATCTGCAAATGGAAGTTATAATTGCCTTATATACCATTGCGATTTTTAAAGTTGGTTAACCAACCTGTCGAATATGTGCACTCAGTTTTCAAGTTCATTTCTTTGTGAAATATTTTGGCTCGAGCCATAAACACTGTATCTGTCAATGGCATGCCCTTGCTGCGAAGCTGTCTGACCCATTCAATCATATTTCTGTCATGATCGAAAATTCTAGCATAACAACTAATTTTTCTGTTATTCATTGCTAGTGGAGTGTCGGAATCACCAAAAATTCAAAAAATTCCCTTTTCTTGTTTTCTTATGTCATACACAGTTAATGTCATACTCCTCGCATAATTTTGAGACAGATGTACCTTTATCTATTTCTTGCAGCCATTTCACATTTTGTTTAATGGACATCGAAACATGCCAGCGCTTTGCAGATCCTGTTGCAGCTCCAGAGTTGAAAACCCTTTTCATCATAATTGAAAGTTCAAACTTTAATTTACATAAAATTGCTGTAACAACAGCCAGAAAAAAATAATAAGCTGGATCAAATCAGAGTTAAAGAACAGCACAATTTCCTATATTAAACTGAAATTCTTTGGAATTTGTATAGCCTAGCATAATAGCATCTGTTATACATTACTGGCTATGTATTATGAGATTGGTATTGGTGACAAAAGACAAGTTGTTCCGCAAAATTTGTCTTGCTTCTGTTGCACACTGTGGTAATTGAGCCTGAATTGTATTAGTTATTTATTGTACTTACATCTTTTTCTTGCACTTATCTGAGGCCTGAATAAATAAATTCCCATGTATACTTATATTTCCCATGTATAAATATTAATATAATCCCATGTATACGGCTTATCACAGGCCAGTGCTAGATTTCTTGCCACATGATGCAGTCTCTGCAGGACCTTAATTCTGTGCTACCAAGCACCTTCCTAAGTTCTAAATTTTGGGTCCCACTACTTTTCCTAAATTCGAAAAATTTTGTCATCCCCTAATTTTGTAGCTTGGTGCTTCTCTAAATTCCAAAAATTTTCCTCTCTAAATTCTGCCGTTGTGGTCGTGGCGCTGGTTCTGGGTTTATGTGAATAAAAAATCAGTTCGTTATTCTTAATTCAAATAGCACTAAATGTAATCTCTTGGTCTATGTGTATCGTTAAAAAAATCTGCATATCATATGGAAAGAAATTTTTGTTAAATTTTTCCTCATCAACATTTCTGTTTTGAATCATTCAGCCATTGTGCCACTTTGATTCCTCGCCTTCTAATGAGCTGACAGATTTCTACTTCAAACATTCTTCTAAGTGATTCTGTGGCATTATACTGAAGCTATTTTGACTCTTCAAAAATTGAAATCAAACCCTGAAGCTCACAACGAAATGTGAAATTGTGGGAGCATTTTTTAATTTTTTAAACGATTTGATCGAACTTTTTAGATAAATGGTAATTAAGTTTTTATCTTTCTCATTCCAGTAAAGCTGTTTGAAAAACCTTTTTTTCTGGCTTGGAAAGATAATTCTGGAGAGAAGTGTGCTGTAAAAAATTATAAATTACATGAAAGATAAATGCTAAAATATTAAAATTTTTTGCAGTGCTTTCAAAGTTTGTCAACAGAAAACAACATTTTACTTTGCCACTGACTCTCAGAAAGAATTAGCTAAGTAAGTATATTTATTACTTTTCTCTTGTTTTCAGATATGTAAACAACAGAAATTGAGCTATAAAAGAATAAGTAAATATAAAAAATGTAAATAAAGAAATTGTTATTAAACGGAAGACTAAATTATGTTTTATTTTTATGAAATTATCATTTACATATATTCCTGTGAATTGACAATATGCTTGAACTGGATGAATTTGTGATCCTTACTCATTAATTAGACAGTATTTCACCTAGGAATCCCTTCCCATGGGCAAATAAATCTAGTGTGCTTTGCCCTGTTGAAATAACCAATCCAGTCGACTTTTCAGGAGTTTTTTTGAGTGCATATTAAGTATTATTAATAGTTAAGTGCCCACATTATTGATGATAAGAATAATATTAAGACATGCAGAAGAAACATTTGCATAGCTTCATTTTTTAAATTTATTAATATCTTAATGCATATTTTTGTCTCATTAAAATACTATCAGTACTTTTTCTAGAAATATGTATATGTTTTAATTTCTTTTTTTTTAATATGCTGTTAGATCTAGATATAAGGAATTATAAGAGAAATAAATGTTCCGTTTATTCCTAATATCAGATGATAATGGATAAAATTTCGAGTATAGTTTATTTGATGAATTGTAGCAAGATGCAGCTACCTCAGTATTGAGGATCTTTCATTTTTTTGCTTGTCTGTCTACTACATTGCATGCACCTAGAAAGCAATATTATGAAATTTCTGTCTGAAATGAAAACTAAAGTGTTAAAAATGACATTCAGTAAGAGAAATGTAATTAAAGAATTTTTTTCCTTGTTGTGATTGGTTTTTGATGCACATACTAGTGTTTTGTATTAGAAAGTCCATTTGGAAAGAACTAGAAACAATAGATGTACTCAGAGTCACTGTAAGCAAATTTTTCATTAGCTTCATTATTCTATTGCTGGTTAGAGGAGATACCGAATAATGAAAAGCCCTCTTTTATATTGGGATGGGAAGGGAATCTTTTTCTGTTCTGAATATTTTGGTGAAGGAGAAAAACGAGTTCATTTATTGCTTTTAGGAGACTTGAAACTATCAGTTAGTGAATGAATATAAACACAGTTTTGGAGACAAATGAGGCCTTTCTTCCAGAATTTGAGATTTCTTATTTTCTTACGCACAGAATTGCTGATCAAAAGTGTTTCTTTCTTATAACAAAATGTATTTTACACAAGCATTTCTTATAATGAAAGTGTATTGTATGTGGGTTTATACCATACTTTATTTGCTGGCATACATTTTTGGATTGAGATTCATAAATTAAAAAAATTAATAGCCTTTGTAGTTTCTTATGGGTTGTACCTATTTAATCTGTTGCTCAGTGAACTTCCATCATCTAGCGTACTGTGAAAGCTGTTTCTTTTGCTTGTTGATCTATAATCATGGCAGTCTCATTTGTGCAATTTTGAATTCAGTATCACTGCATCCATGTTTTTGCTCTGCAGTCCTATTAATTTCTTAAATTCAAATATATTGTAGAACTTCAATATGCCACTTAAAGGGTAGTTCCCACTGGCGTTTATCTGAGCTAACGGGAACATCTAACGTAGCCGACCCATCTCCAAAACCAGTTTTCCCCCCTTAGGGCAGCAAGTTGAAAAATCTGAACTTCAGGCATAGCGAAGCTAGTTGATACATGGAACTGACTCCGTTAGCTCAGATAAACCCCAGTGGGAACAGCCCTTTAGAGACTACAAGGGGCAGAAAATTGGGCTAGTAATTCTTCAGATGTAAAATTTATGATTTAACTTCGTACAACTACCAGCACAGCTTTCCAGTACATAAAGATTCATCTGTGGACACATCAGATGTTCAACAGTGTCTAATTCAGAAAGACAGAAAGGGGAACTGTAAAGTTTGTTGCAAAAAGGAAGGACACAACAGTTTAAAGCTGCTGAAAGCTTTTGAGAGTCACTGAGAGAATAGGGTGATATAGTTCACGTATATATTTTAAGCTTTGATGTAATGAAAATGTAACAATTTTTGTTAATGCTGCAGAAGTTCCAGTTCAGGCCAAAGCTTTTTTTATGCAGAAATGAAATCTAAACTGTGTCAGTGAATATTATGTATTATTTTCTGTTTTATTTTTCATATCACAGCAATGTATTTATGGGGTAAGTTGGCTTACATTGTGCTTAGATGTACGATTTTTAATACAGGGATTCTGTTATTGCCAATTTTTTTTAACCAGTTTCTGTGCTTTGCATCTCCTAGGTTTGCTGGATTTAAACTGTATAACCTGATTTATTATTATTTAAAGAACACTGTGTATATTGCATTTTTAAATACAATTTTGCTAATTACGCTACTGGAGCAAATTTGTTTCTAACATTAATTTTTAATATCCTGATATTATTTCAGTTGGATGAATAAAATGATATTTTTTAATATCCTGATATTATTTCAGTTGGATGAATAAAATGGGTTTAGCAGCAATAGCATACCACACATCATCAGATGTTGCAAGTGGATATCTTAAGCCTGAACTAATTTTAGGTATGTTATTGTTTGTGTTAAATACATGCATGCTTCTAGCATATGAAAAAGATAATTGAATTCTTAGTGATACATTGAGAATATGCAGACATGCATAGTGCTTTGTCAAGAGTTATTCTCTTTCTTATGATAATATTTTTATTACAGTGAATGAAATAAGGCATGCACTGAAATAAAAAAGTCACTGTATATCCTACTAAGCTTTCCTAGAGCGATTGTTACATAATTAGTGGGAGGGTGACTCTCATTTTGCTTTTAATGAGTTAATGCTTGAATTCTTTTCTTCTTCTTGATATAAAAAGGTGGATACTCAAGATTCAGGCACAAGGGCGTGGCTTGATTGAAACAAAGATTTCAAAATAATTTCATTTTTACGAATGAACAATTCATAAAATATTAAATTAAAACAATTTTTATGTTTTTGGGGTATGAGTTTTAGTATGCGGTGCGAAATTTAACAACTTATCCACATTTTGGCAGTGTGCAGGAGATTTGCAAGGCAGGTGGCAAGATCAGTTTGCATACAAATTTTTTTTATTCAGATATTTGTGAATCTTTCAATTTTTCTTGCAAACATAATTAACACTGATAAAAATAATAAAAGAAAGATAATATATTAAAATTATATTTAAGAAATATTATTAAAACTTTTTGCTTTCTCCTGCTATATTTTAAAGTGACATTACTTTTCCATTTTAGTGTCTGGGATATTTTGATTTTGAAAGTAAACAAGGTAATGAATGCTACAAAGCAGTTCCTGAAACATTTTTCTTTTAAAAAAAAAGCAGTAGTAATTATTTAAAAATTCATTTCATTTGGCTACTTTTGTATTTTTTTTAATGATGAGTTTTTTCTATGTAATTGTTTTATCATATTTAAATGTGTAAGAAAGTTTTCTCATGAAAAATTCACTTTACACTTTTCTTTTCTGAATCCCCCCCCAAAAAAATATGGCTTTTTGCTCTTACAGAGTTGAGTGAAATAATTTTTCTTTTGGAATTTAGGCCTTGCACCTAGGAATGTTTAATAAGAAATTTAAGGCAGGATTTCCAGAAAAATTATTTCAAGAAAGTTTTCTTATAATTTCCAAAAACATGTGATGAAATGAAAAGTGTCTTCATAGTATTAACACATAATGGATGTGTTTTATAGGGAATTTATGATGAATTTCGTATCTTTTGGAAAATTTTTGGAAGAACATTGAAAAAACAAATTATTTGAATTTTTTCAGTTTCATCCCAGAAGTCTTTCTCTTAACATCCAAAAGAAAATATTCCCTTTGTTTTCTTATCTATCCAATAGACACTAGCATTGAAGCAAGCAAAGAAATAAAATACCAGCATTTTATTAAAAGAGTCATCTTATATGTCTCAGTGCACCATACATGCCTCATTGACTGCCCTAAACTATAAAAATTTTGCCAGTCCTTTGTTTCATTACTCAGTGCTTCAGTAAATTCTAATAATTCTGCTACTCTAGCACCAGCCGTGACTTTATATAATTTCATATTTATTCTGAATACTCATATTATTAAAGAAATAAAATTAGTTTCTTTTTCACATTCTGAGTACAAAATGTTCCTTTGAATAAGATAAATCTTTAATTAAATTGGAAAATCTAAAAAAGAAACTCATCAAAGAAGAAATTTATAAGAGAGAGACAATATTATTCTTCATAGTTAATTGTTAAAACCTTAACAAATTAAGAGATTCAGAAGTCAAACAACAAAAATCAGCGTTAATTTACAAAATTTTCACAGGACTAGTTTCGATGGTTTTACCGAACCATCATCTTCACTGCAAAAAACCGCAAATGAACAAGATAGGAAATAATGCTTAGATAGATAAGAAAGCCTGGACAAGAATAAGCAAGTGGCTTCACCAATGTCCCAGTGGAGGGTGCATTAAGATGTCTAGAACCAGACTTCGCGAATTCATTCTTTGCATCGAAATGATGACATTTCTCTCATCCTCTGTAAACAAACCATGTTTCCAAATAATATTAAGCAACTGAGGGATTAGCCATGGAGCCCCCTCCCTCCTGCTGATATCTACTGCATTTTAAATCAAAATTGTGAATTTAAACTTCCGGAGGTTCCGTACGTAGACGATACTTTTACCCTGTTTGAAGGTAATAAAGATGATTTAAATAAAGTTCTTTCAACAATGAATTCCATTGATCCTGCTATTCAATTCACTTTTGAACTTGAGACTTGAAAATCTCTTCCGTTTCTCGACACTCTAGTCACGCAAAACACATCCATCTTCAGTACTACGGTTTACGGTAACTTACTGAAGCCTTCCACCTCACTTCAAATCATGTCATCCGACTAAACAAAAGTTAGCTTCATTTTATTCCTATGTTTTCCGGGCTCTTCAAGTTTGCTCCTCCAAACTATCCTTTGATGAAGAACTAAATTATTTAAAAGCGATAGCTATTGACAGGGGCTTTTCACCTAACATTATTAATGAAGCAGTTAAAAACTTCTCATCTCAACACACAAAAAAGCCCATTCTTGTTTTAGGAGATTATAAAAATTCCGTTGCCATTCCCTTCTTTCCATCAATTGGCTATAAGGTTGCACGTATTTTGCAGAAAATTGACTTTCGGGTCATTTATTCTCCGATCAATAAAATTCCGAGTTCTTTACTCAAGGATCCCATTCCGGATATGAATTCCTGGGGTATTTATAGGATTCCTTGCCAGTTTGGTTTAAATTACATCGCCCAAACTAAGAGAGCCTTAAAATTTCGCGTTAAAGAACATGAGGCATATGTTAGGAAGAAGGAAACACAGAAGTCTTCTGTTGCCCAACATTGTTGGTATGAAAATCACAATTTAAATGTTTCTGCTGCCAAAATTATTCAAAAAGCATCTTCCATTGGTGAACTGGATTTTCTAGAGGCATTTCACATTAAAAAAATCTTTCTGTTCTAGTTAATGACCCTGATTCCAATCCACATGCCTTCAGCCTTTAAAGAAATTATGTTTTAGTTCTGGTTTCTTCAACAGATGGCGCCAGTAGCTTGTTTCTTGTCCTGGCTTTTCTTGTCTTATGTTTTCATTATATCTTATCTCGTTCATTTGCTCTTTTGCAGCTGAATATGATGGTTCGGTAAAACCATCGAAACTAGTCCTGCGATATTTGAAAATATAACGCTGATTTTTGTGTTTGATTCTGATAGTTTTAGGTGTGTTTTGGAATTAGGATACGCAAGTGGGTGGTAGAACGAGGGCTCGAAACGAGAAATGCGTTATGGAAATGAAGAACGGGTGGGGGGAAAGAAAAAAAATAATTAAAATAAATACTAATATCGTTTAGAATCAGTAGAAATTATAAGTGCTGTAAAAGGATCTTAACTCTTTTTTAATAGATTTTCCCCCAATAAAAAAAATTATAACTATATATAAATATATAAGACTAAAGGTATCTAACTATATAATTTAATAATTTGTAACTAACTGCTCACCCTTAAAAGTTATCTCTACATGTTAAGGGAAGTAATCATTTTCCCTTAATCCTTATTGTGGATATACCACTTGACATACAGGACTGACTGAGTATGTGACATCTGGATTGAGTGAATACATGATAAAATGAGACATAAAATAAAGAATCAATATAGAGGTAATTGTTAGTAAAATTTAAATAAAAAATCAGTAATTTTCTTTAAAATATGTGGGACTATTTTAAGTGTAAAATTTAAATATTTTAAAAAATTTATAATTTAATGCTAATTACATGAAAACTTTATGAAGTTAATTTTATTCTTGAGTGTGTTTGTAATTAAGTTAAATATCAGATTACATTTAATAACCATGTGTTTCTATTTGCAGAATTTTAGATTAGAATTTTATTAGATTTATTATTTATTTATTCTTACAAATTATGGAAATGAAGTTCACATGTAGGGATGATTGCATTAGTTTATTCAGTTCCTATTTGCTTGATAGGTCCGTAACTTTTTCCATTAACCTTCTAAAACCGGGCTGAAATTCTCATAATATTATAGCCTTCAGACCGGTGTGATCCGAAACAGTTTTGCCCCCTCTTTGACATTTTCCGAATGAGAAAAGTCGTTAGTCCCCCTCCATGGATGCAGTAAAATTTACACGTTTGTCGGACGCTGTCCCATAGTAGATGGGTTGCTAGATTTGTGATTTTTTTCGATGATTATTTTGCTTTCATTTAAATGAAGTTCTGAATAAGTAGTGCATAAATAAATATGCAGTACTGGATACATATCCAGTGTACTATTTATTTAGAAAAAAAATGTATGCAATGTTTATATTTCACTCACTATTTCTGAATCAATTTCGTAAATAATTTGTGAATTTTTAAACTTTGTTTTCACTCTTCATTTATATTCGTGTATTTTCGTATTAGAAATTAGAAAACAAGAACAAAATTTTACAAAATATAATAAATACGAACTAGCTTTGTAAGTCTGCAGGCTGGAATGCGATTTTTAATAACATATTTTCATTAACAAAATAATGGTAATGACTAATTTGATGAAATAATAATAGTAATATTTATTACCATTAGACGATTAGAATGAGATTCAATACAATTAGATTTTGAGATGAACTTACAGCAATAATAAAGCTTTACATAACAATAACAGAGCTTTAAATCTGCTTTTTTCGATAATTTTGTTATTATAACATAAAAAAGAAAATCCGAGATACATTGGTTGCGTTTCATCATTTAACTTTAACAAATATTACATTGGACTATCAGGCAAAGGAGGTATGTCTTTAACGAGAATTTTTCTTTGTAAAATTGGCTTTTGTTTATGTTAGCAGAGGGAAAAAAATCTGTGTCCTATACATGCAATCATCAGAAGTATTTTTTAGAACAGTTTTAAATGTTCATGAAGAATTAATTATACGTCAATTTCTTTTCATAGGTAGAAATTTTGCCTAAAACCATCGTTATATCCAAAGGTTGAAGTCTATTTCATTTTCAACGAATATTCTATTTGCGCATAATATAT